GGGCGCGGGAGCCTAGCACGTACGAGTGGGCCCCACGGAGACGCCCCCGGGGGAGGGGCGCCCGGAGCCGGCCTGGGGCGGGTGGGGCGCTGGGAACCCGGGGAGGCGCCCGTGCACCCCCGGGATGGCTGCGAGGCGTGTTCTACAGCGGATGCTCCGGGGAGGGCAGGGGGGTGCCTGTGTTGTGGGGGGCCCTGGCTCGCACACCCACGTTCTGTAGGGCCAGAAAGGGGAGGCGCCTTCCATGGGGTGAACTAGGGGCCTGTTTGACACCTGGGGGACCACTGGAGGGGTGGACGCATTCTGGGGGCGCCAGAGGGGGCCTTGTGTCTTGGGTTGGGGAGGGATTCTGAAAGGCGAGATGTGTATTTCATAGGCCACCGTAGAGAAAGTTGTCTGTTTAGCAGGAGATAGGCCTGGGCTGGTTGGCTGCGAGGGGCAGAAAGGGAAAGTGTGTTGGAGGGAAGCCGATCAGAAGGGGGTATGTGCATCCTAGAGGGGACACATGGAGGGTAGTGCATTCTCCAGGGGCTGGGAGGGGAGGCAGGGCCACCAAAGACGGGGGGCCTGCTTTCTGGAAGCGAAGGAAAGCAGGGAGCAGGTGCTAGGGGTTGGGGAGGGGAAGGGGGTGTGTATTCCTTGGGGTGTGGGGATTCCACTGGAGGGCAGAGGAGGGGGCATGAAGGGAAGAGGGGGTGAGCTGAGGGGCTACTACCGAGGGACGGGGTGTGCACGTCACTCTGGAGAGTAAGAGCAGGGGGCGGGAGTGTTTTCCACATAAACACCTGAGGAGGAAGCAGACAAAGGCCTGAAACAGGAGGGAAACTGCCCAAGCTTGGAAAATGGGACAGGGGAGGGAGGGGGCTCCTCAGGGATCTGAGCAGACAGATTAATTGAAAAATTAAAAATTAACTAACATTTGTAGAGGCCTTCGTAGTTTTCTTCACTCCAGTCTCACAACAGTGAGAGCTAGGTGTTGCCAGTGGACTTTGTAGAGGAGGAAACTGAGGCCCAGAGCAGTCAGGTGACCTGCCTGTGGTCACAGTGGGAGGCAGCTCAAGGCAAAGGCTGGTCTAAGGCCTCTTGCAGCCCCTACACCTGTTGGGCTTATCATCGAGGAGCTTGGAGCCTTCACCTTGCCTTGGTGACCCTGTTGCCCAGGGTGGCAGCAAGGTAGATGTGTGCGAACTGGTGGGCACACCTCTTAGCTCCTCTCTGCCGCTAGTTCCAGGGCCTGCAGCTGGAGCGCGAGGCATGCCTGGCCTCCAACTATGCACTGGCCAAGGAGAACCTGGCACTGCGGCCCCGCCTGGAGATGGGCCGGGCTGCCTTGGCCATCAAGTACCAGGAGCTGCGTGAGGTGGCCGAGAGCTGCGCAGACAAGCTGCAGCGACTGGGTGAGGGGCCAGTGAGAACTGCCTGCGGAGGGCAGTTGACCCTCTGGCTGGTTGACCCTTGGGGAAGTATCCTGCTCTGAAGGGTGGGACTTGGGCAGGTCTATTCCCAGGCACAATTGAGGGGTGCTAATCCTGGGGAAGTGAGTAGAACTGGGTCAGGGAGGCCTGAGAGGGACCCTGGGTAGTGGGAGAAAATGGGGTCCTATATCTAAGGGCTTGGGGTACCCTAGAGACAAGGTACTTCCTTCTTTGTTGTGGAGGGCTGACAGCAAAATGGGGATGGGAGATGCAGGGGATGTGTGCATAAGATAATTACATAGATATTGTGCAAATGGGGAAACAAAGGTTCCAGAGAAGAGAAGAAAGCAAAGCATAGAGTCCCAGGCAGTCATTGGGAGAGTACGGATGGTCCCTGGGGCTCTGGCCTGTCCATTCTGGGACTGTCCACACTGTCCCTCTGTGGTCCTCAGAGGACACCATGCATCGCTGGAGCCCCCACTGCGCGCTGGGCTGGCTGCAGGCGGAGCTGGAAGAAGCTGAACAGGAGGCTGAGGTGAGGGGAAGGTGGCTGGACCTCTGGACAGGGAGGGAGACCCAGCAGGCTCAGGAGCCCCTCCTCCAGGAAGCCACCCAAGTACCTGGCCCCAAGAGCACTGGACAGCAGGTGGCCTCAGCCCACCTGTGATTAGCCCTACTCTCCTGAGAACCCATCAGGGCTGCTGGCTCCAGGGCACAGTGGGACAGCTGAAGGGGGCAGGGGGAAGAGGAAATCAATCGTAGGGTTGGCCTTGATGGGTCCTCGCTTTATAAGTGGGGAAATCAAGGCTTGAGTATGGAGGACATTTGTCCACAGTATGCAGCAAGGTGGCAGCAGCAGAGTAGATCATGTGGGGGTCACCCTGGGTGGGAGACAGTGGGCCAGCAGCCCTCAGTCTCTGGTCTTGCTCCTCACAAAGCTCTCTTCCTTCCGGTCCCAGGAGCAGATGGAACAGTTGCTGCTAGGGGAGCAAAGTCTGGAGACCTTCCTGCCCGCCTTCCAGCGCGGCCGAGCCCTGGCCCACCTGCGGCGGACCCAGGCTGAGAAGCTGCAGGAATTACTGAGGCGCCGGGAGCGGTCTGCCCAGCCAGCTCCCACCGCTCCTGCTGACCCCCCTAAACCCTTCGCCCCTGCAGCTGTCCTACCCACCGGGGCCGCCCGGGGACCACCAGCAGTGCCCCGGAGCCTGCCTCCCTTGGACTCCCGCCCAGTGCTCCCTCTGAAGGGCTCCCCCGGGTGCCCCCTTGGCCCAGCCCCCCTGCTGAGCCCTCGGCCCTCGCAGCCAGAGCCCCCCCACCGGTAGGATCTAGGGTGCGGCCCCCCAGTGGGGGGCCCAGACAAACTTGATGCGTGGCTCCTCCTTCTCCCCCACTGCCTGGGTGGGGGGAGGGGCGGGCCCCTCCCCCTGGCCTCAGGCAGGCCTGGAGGCTGAGCTAGGGAGGAGGGGCACCTGGAAGATGCCCAGAGAGCGGGGCTGGGGGTGGGGGGGGCAGGGTGTTAGGAAACTGCCTTTTCTGTCTCCCAGGCTGGGGCCTCTGGGGTGACGGGCCAATCCCAGTGAAAGAACTTTACTCTCCTAAGGGGCCTGGGAAGATGCCTGCTTCCCGGAGGGGCCCTGCACCCTCCACTCTACCAGACTCGCACAATACCAAGGCCGACAGGAGCGTTTTCATCTTGACCTGAGCCTACCTTTCCCCCAACTCTGGGGCCCACCTCCTAGGAGCCAGGTGGTCAGGCCCCAGCATCGGGGTTAGGGCCACCACTATAGGCCCTACTCATACTCCAGACCCTGGGACAAGGTAGGCCAGGGGCTTCTGACCTGCATAGGTCAGAGTGGGCCATCCCTAAGAAAGACCGTTCTGTGTTTTTCTGTCCCTGTCTCCTTAGAATGGAAGCTTTTTGAGGGCAGGTCCTTGTCTTTGTATGTTCTGTCCCCAGCCCCGCCTCCCAGGGGCCGTCAATAAATGTGATGATGAGGATAATGCTGCCCGACTCGTCTCTGCTGTAGCAGCCTCCACATCTCAGCTCCTGTGCTTCCTACACTTGTGACATCCTTCCTTCCTTTCGGCCCATCCACAGCCCAGCTGTCCTTTGGGCCCAGCACCGCTCCTGTCTCATCCATGAAGCCTTCTCTGAATATCAACCCATGAAAGCCTTTTCTAACTCTCAGCTTCCCAGCACTTGTGGCCAGAAGTACCCTCTGCTCCACTGTGGTTCTCCAGTCGCCTCACTTAGCATAACTTCTCTTCCTGGTCACCTGCAAGCGCTATCAGGATGATGTCCGCTCCTTGTTGGCCTGCCAGATGCCCACCCCACTGAGTGATGGTGGTTGTTGTTAAATGCTATTGAGTCAGTTCCGACTCAGTGACCCTATATAGAGTTTCCAAGGAACAGCTAGGGTTTGAACTGCCAGTCTTGTGGTTCACTGTCCAGTTGAGCTGAAGGTATACATCCTCAGCTCAGGTCAACACTAAGAAGAAGCCAGCTTGGCCAGTGAATGTCTTGACATGGGAGAGCAGGAACATGCCCTGCATCAGGTTAGGTTCAATCTACTGAGATGAGGTTTGGCAGAGAGATTGGCATACAGGGTCCTGCTCAATACGAGTGTTGTAGAGGTCTACACAGCTAATGAGATTTCGGTCCATGTTAATAAGAATATAACCATAGAGATAGAGGTGTTGGGTTGGCTCTAATTTCAATGAAGTCTGGAAAGAGACTGGGAGGGAAGAAGAGTGTTACCATGGGAACCAGATGGTGTCCTTCAAAAGGTCTCCCCTACATCTCTCCTTACATGAAGAGTCCAGGCTCAGTTTTAGGGAGGGTAGGGAATGGGGTCTAAAAAGACTGGAAGCAGGTGGAAATGACCACCACCAGACGAGTTCTGTGCCTAGTTCTGGACTAGGGTTGGATGGTTAGAAAGCTTCATGAACCACCGTGAGTGAAGGTCCATGGAATGTTCAAGAAGGTTTCAGTTTTGGCAATCTGGGTCCTCCTTTTGCCTGAAACATATAATTTAGTGTGTTTCCATGTTCTGGGGAATGTTCTTGACTGGTCCTCTGTGAGAGGATCTACATCAAATGGCCCATCTACGTGAGGGTCTATATCAAGTGGCCCATGAAAAAGGTGCCCCCTATTCTGTGATGCTGTAGGATAATGCACTGGACCACAAGATTGGCAGCTCACACTCACCAGCTACTCCTCAGAAACCCTATACAAGGTCTCTAGGAGTGCAATCTGACTTGATAATGCTTAACAACAGTGCTTTTAAAATCCAAACTAAAAAATTCCTCAAATAACATTCCCACTTAGTTTTTTTTTTTTGATAAAAACAATTCGTGCACCTCAACAAGAGACTATAAACCCTTCGGGAACCACTAGCTTCTGCTTTTTTTTTTTAAGCTTCTCTCTGTTTTCAAATATGAAAAATCGTTGACACAAATGTGCTTTGACAGTCAAGGCCCACTGAGCTAGCAGGCCTTAATCAAGGTGGGTTCAGATCTTTATGAATGAATTGTGTGGTTGCTACAAAAATCATGGCACAGAGGTAGGCCCCCACCTGTCAGTTGGAGAGAATCTAAGGATTTTCAAAAAAAAAACTAAGTTTATCCCAGTTTACACAAAAGACTGGAAAAATTGGTGTTACTATTCCAAAGAGCCTCTAGCTTTGTATACCTCTCAAAAGATTGTTGTCCTACAATGAAAAAGATTCACACTCTGCCTTCCTGCATGAAGTGGGGACACAATGTAAGTCACAGACTAGGGGTTTACAAACTCAGACACCTTTGGGGCCAGGAGGGTGACACACAGGAGCAAAGTAGGTCATTTCAGCAAAGAATACACCCTCCTCCATCATTCTGGAAATGTTTTCCTTTTTGATGGAGACAAAGGATGCAAGTGTGTGGTTAAACTTGAGTTTCATATTTCACTTCTGTTGGAAAGTAAAGCAAACGGGGAGCAGTGGTCTTCCTCAAAGGGCTGGTGTCGCCTGGCTTCTCCCACATAGCAATGCAGACATATGACTCAAGGGTCAGCACACAGATAACTCAGAAATGGAGATTTTTATGAGAAGTCGCCCAAGTTTTCAATCTTGGTTAAATTTAGGACACTGTACCAGCTGAGCATCATCTGTGAACCATGAATCTGTGCTCTTGGGCCTCCTTTTACCTCAAGGGGCAGCCCCCTCCCAGGGTTCAAGGTGTGAATGCCGAAGGGACAAAGAGAAGAGGAGAAGACCAGCCCACCTGAAGACTAGTGCTAGACCAACCATCAGGGCATTGGTGACGTGGCGGGGCGCACAGGGAGACTGAGCCCAGGACAGACGGAGAGTGGAATTCTGCATTGGCTTCTTGGGGACTGGAGCACGCACATTTTTGACATACAAGTTCAAGAGGTCCAGACTCAATTTCACTGTTGTCTTCATACATCTTAACAGGGCACTTGGCTGCTTTGCATCAAGTCTATGGTCACCAGGCTGCAGGTGGAGAGGTGAGTCTTCCCCCATGATCTCGCTCACAGGCCGACTGTCACCTCATCACAAGCTATGGAACTGAGGGGAGGCCAAGGCGAGTAGACCAGACACAACTCATGGCTACTAGTCGATTCCTACTCGGAGTCTGGATAGGGTTTCCCAGGCTATAAATCTTTACAGGACCAGAAAGCTCCATCTTTCTCTGGAGGAGTGGTGGGTGTATTTGAATGGCTGACTTTGGAGGAGTGGTGGGTGTATTTGAACGGCTGACTTTGTGGTTAGCAGTCCAGTGCTTATCTAGCCTACAACACCACTAGAGTTCGCCAAGGCTAGGATAGAGCCTATTTTTCTAGTGTAACCAGATTCTGGGAAGTAGTACCAGTGCTTACCATCGGGTGCCTTCTCTCAGCTTCTCTTCATGGGGTCTGTGAACGCTAGGAATCCCCAAAGTGTAAGACAGAGCCCTTCCCATTTCCCAAAGAGGCAGTATTGGTCACTGGGCTTCACCTTGGTGCCTCAGCCTTAGGTTGAGCTCCCTGTAGATCAGTGGTGGGGAGGCTTCTTTCTGCCAAAATTGATAACATCAATTGAGGACCATACAAACTTGTTGTTAGATGCCATTGAGTTGGTTCCAAACCACGTTGACCCTTCATAGGGTTTCCAAGGAGCAGCTGGTGAGCTTGAACTGCTGACCCTGAAGTTCAAACGGCTTTGCAGTCTGGCGCATTAACCCACAGCGCCACACCAGGACTTAACCCACAGTATCACATATCAAATTAAAAAATTAGCTTGTTGTATTTGGTCAAATATTTAATTAATTTACCTGGAACTGCAGTTGTTGGCAGGGCCAGACCGAATGATTTTGAAGGCCTTATATCCAGGGTCAAAGGAGCTCTGGTAGCTTAGTGGTTACGAATCAGGCTGCTAACTTTAGGGTCAGCAGTTTGAAATGACCAGCTGTTCCACAGGAGAAAGATGAGGCTGTTTGCTCCCATAAAGATTTACAGCCTCAGAAACCCTGTACAGGGTTGCTATGAGTAGGAACCGACTCGACGGCACATAACAACAACAACATATCCAGGGTCACTATGGGTCAGAATAGACTCAATGGCACT